GTCAAAGAGATAATAATAGCCTGGAGAGGCAAACAGCAAGGGAAAGGCCCAGAGTCCACCATCACAAGAGTAATTTGAACCACCAGGGAACGTTTACCATGAAGAAGAGACGAAGCAGGGCTAACATCTTTCCTGTGGAAGGAGGGTCTGACTCACCCCCAAAGGGTACAGAAACAAGAACAAGGCGTGCAAGTTGCAAGAAGGTTAATTTAGGCTCCAAATACTCAAACATTTCCAAAAGTAGAATGGGCAGAACAGGCTGAGAGTCATCCTGCTCCCTGGAGGCATCTGAGCACAGGCTGGACATCCTTTTCTTGACAGCCAGTGAGGATTCTTTTTCAGGTATGGGCTAAGCAAGATGACCATGAAAATCCTTTCCAACTCAAAAATTCTGGTGGGGAGGGAAAGTATAGGTTACACCTTTCAGGCAGCTTAGCTATGAATGAGAAAAGAAAAAGTACATCAGATAAAGCAGGGGTGGAGTCAAGCAGTGGTTTGTTTGGCTTTCAAAACTAGAGAGAGCTAGACATACCTTAAAAGGAGAAGAAGTGGATAATTATGTCTAAAGAAAAGGATGAAGGCAAGAACCTGTTCAGTAGGTAGAGACTAAAAGTTAGTGCTGACCTAGTCCAATGCCCATTTGTTCTTAAAATGAGGAAACTGAAGTCCAGAGAGACAAACGACTTACCTAAAGGTCACATTACAATACAGGGGCAGGAAAGGGACTAAAACCCAGGGCCAGTGTTCCCTTCCCACTAAACCTGCCTTACCGCATTCAACTGATTTATTATTCTCAACACATCAGTTCCCCTGGACTTAATTACCATCCCTATGTTAATGATTCTCAAACCTACTTATCCTGTCCCAAACTCTCTTGCTGACCTCCAATCTCCAACTGCTTAATGAATGTTTATTGGTTGATTAACACAGAATTTTATCATCTGGTCCTTGAAAGCACTATATTTGGGGCATGTGATATTTAAATTACATAAACACCATGAAAAGTTTTCATCCTAATTGTGACACCAACTTCTAAACCCCAATTTTCATGATTTAGTTTTCCTTCTTTAAACTTATCGTTGTCCACTAAAGGAAGTCAAAGAGTTAACTTGTACTTCGGTAAGAGTAAACCCATTTGAGCTCTGATTAAGAAGGGCACTCATAAAAATGGAGGTCAGCGTCAGAAAATATTTTCTGAGTCACAGGGAGAGATTACTCACCATGCTCTATTCAACACAGCACGGTAAGGACACAACTGCTCACCATGTATTCATTAGAAAATCGTGGCCTTTCCCTTTGAAGGAAGCAGAAGGCGGGGAAAAAAGTCATACTTTCAGTTTTGTATATAAGCCAGTGGGAGGCTATATCTGAAACACCCTTGCATCCCCTCCCACAGCCTTAATTAGTCTCGAAGGGAAATATATGTTTCACATCATCTTCTTAGGTTCTTTCCAAGTCCTGACAAGCATATGTATGTCGGCTAAACAGAAAGAGTTGTTTTCAATAGATTTAAATAGGTTACAGCTCCCATCTTGGATGCTGCCCTAATACTGCTTTAAAAAAAAAAAAAAAAAGGATGCAACAGCCTAAAGAATAGTAAGGTAAATTGTTGATGAAATTTGACTATCCACTTAATGGAAGAAAAACTTTTTTGTATTTACTTCTTATTAGCTGAAATTTCCATTTTCTATGGAGGAATCTGTTCAGAGTTTGGAATGAGAAATGGAAGAATCTTGGAAGTCTAGCCTTAGGACTTTACAAGACATGAGGAAACTGAGTCCTAGAAGAGACTTACCTAAAGCCACTAATTTGCTACACAAATTAGTAGCAAAGCTATGCCTAAATCCAAATATGGAGAACCATGTTTTATTTGCTCCTAAAAATTAAAATATGCTAAATCACTTCATTTCAAACCAGTAATTCCATAACATTTCAAGAATCACTCATTTTCTTCAACTTGGTACTCACAAAATAAAAATTTCATGAGATTACTTTCACAAAATACATTTTTCTATAAGAGAAAGATCACCCATTTTCCTTTGAAAATGTTTCAGTCCTTAAAAGCAGTTACCCAAAATGGAATAGGCAAGCCTGAAAGAATTTAAAAGGTGCCACTTTGGATTATGGCTTGTTAAATACTGTCTCCTGAACCTGCCTGTGTCCTCCTACCACCCAGGAACCCAAAGAGAAATGTGCAGTGAAACTAAGAAATGTTCTGCTGACGTCAAACAGCTCTGGATGGACGGCAACACACACGTATCCCACTCCTGCCAAATGAAGACTGGGCCAGGGAGGGAAAAAGTCTGTAGTTCAGAACAGCCCAACATTAGAAAGCCAGAGGACTGCAATGTTCAAACAGGAGTTCTTCCTAACCCAAGAAGCCAAAAAACCATGGATTGCACCACAAGTTAAGTTGCAAATACCCTTTTCCCCTCACAACATAAAAAAGGCATATGGTCTCTTCAACCAAGCTGCTGGAAAGACAACATGCCACTGTCTCCAGATGACATTTCATTTTTGTAAAAATGCAACCCAGCAAGGCAAATTCATCCAAATAACAGGATGTTTCTTAAATTTATAAATAGACCCCCCTCAAAAAAAAAAAAACCTCACAAAGAGAAATGCAAAGAATGGCATGAAAATCTATTAACAGGTTTAAAAATATCACCTATTTTGTCTTTTTAAAAAGGCAATTAACCACAACTAGTATGCACCTGAATCTAACCAGTACTATTTCCCAGGGAACATTTATCTATAATCTAGTAAGATTAGGTAACAAGGTTAAAAAAGCTTTTCTTATTATACTGTCAACTGAAAGATTTCCCCTCCCCCTCTGTCTATACTGTATACAGACCCAAACACACCCAGAGCTGCCCTACAGGAAAAGCTGCATTAACCGATTGAGTGCTGGAAGGCTCAACATCTCTCTGGAAATAGGATGACCAAAAATATAAAGTCCTGGTATAGGCAGGGCTTTGGGAAACCAGAGTTGCATAGAATTAGGGACTCAAGAACCTTAAGCCAAAGGCAAGTGTTAGCCATTTCTTCTACACAACCCCAAAGCAGGATGTTTCCAATGATTCACACACATGTATAAATGTATTCGTCAATCCCAAAAGAGGAATGGCCTATCACGGATTTTGTTAGATCAAGCTCCAGCATGTTTGATTCTACCAGCCAGCTCTACCCTACCCCCCGCCAAAGTTTCAAAGTAAAATGTCATCAAAATAGATATCATTTGTTGCTTTTATTTTCTTTCTACAATATGCTCAATTCAACCTGTAGAGTAAGAAACATAATGAAATATTTCCATTCTGAAGGGTAGAGGAGTGTTGTACCAACAATTGTAGTGGGTTTTATCAAGTGTGTGAGCCATTTGTAAATTTCCACTCAGGCTTTTCTAGTTTAAACATAGATGCTGTCATGGGGGGGTGGGAGAGGTCATTAAACAGTCCTATAATTCATAAGGAGACAACACAAATCTGTTCTAAAATTAAAAAAAAAAATAAAGGGAGAAAGGCTGTTTACCCTACAGAACAATCTTAGGTGCTTGTAAGCTATAATACAACAGATTAAAAACAAGAACTATCTTAAATCCACTCAAGTGGAAAATAAAATTGAGTTTCTATATAATGAATATTAAACAGAAATACAGGTAGGTAGAACAGATATTGGGGGGAAAAGTCTTATGCATAAACACTGTTCTATTTCCCAAGAGAATGGGGGCAGGAGAAAAACACTAAGAGGTGTGCAGTGATGGATTGACTGCCTCCATGAATCAACTTCTCTGAACACTGACCTCCATTGACACAAATGCATCATCTTAGAAAGTTTCAGAAACCTACATTTCAGCTGTGGAAAATTGTGAGCTCTTCGAGAAAAAAAAAAAATTTTTTTAAACTTTTCCCCCTTTCATTAGTCAGTCTTCTCTCCCTCCTCCTCCCCAAC